AAGTAGACAGGCTGCCAAGGATGAAGCTAGCAAGCATAGCAGGGAATAGGAATAGGTGAGTTATGGAGGAGTCGTGAACAGGGCAGAGAGAATAGGAGAGATGGCTATGTCAGGAATGTGCATTGGGTTGTGGTTGTGATGTCAAGATCTAGGTTATGTGAATGGTTGTAATGGCCAGGGCCTCACTAATATGGACTGGTGCATTGTCAGAGGGTTGGCCTGCCGGCATGAGGGTCGGAGGCGTGGAATGAGTCGATCTTTGTAGTGTTCAGAGCTGCAGACATGAGAGCGCTCGATTTGAGTCGAGAATTATTTTTTGACACTGGTTCTCTAAGCTCAAGGGCCAGGCAAAAGGGCAGAGTGCTTGATTTGAGTCGGTATTATTTTTGACACTGGTTCTCTGATTTGAGTCGGTAGTATTTTTGACACTAGTTCTCTAGGTTCAAGGGCCAGGCAAAAGGGGAGAGTGCTTGATTTGGGGCGGGTTTATTTTTGACATGAGTTCTCTAGTTCAAGGACTAGGCAGAAAGCAGAGTTTGTTGGCTTGTGAGTTGGTATCATGCAGATATGAAAGTGGCTCTATGTTGTTCTCTCAGCACATGAGGACACTGCTGTCTTTTTTTACGGGGATCGATAGTCAGAGGGGGAAAAATAAAAACTAGCAACATCAGGGGTGCCGGAAGTTGGAGGACGGAAATGCTGCTTAAGCGTGTCGCAGGTGTGAGATGCAGTTAATAGAGCAGGTCTCTTCTAGGGGGTCGTATGCATACTTTTTTCTCTCAGCACATGAGGACAGTGCTGTCGTTTTTATGGGGGTCGATTGTAATATTCAGAAATTTTAATATGATATTTAGAGACGTTAGAACAAAAGTGACAAATCTGCCGAACAGGGAAGCATGAGTAGGCCAGGCTGAAACACCCACGCCTCATGGAGAGTTAAAACAAAGGCCTCCAAGCAATGCCCTCAGCCAGGGGGTGGAAGCATTTTGAACTAGGCCTATAGAAAATTAAATGTACTTTATCGAATTAATGTAGACATGATTCATGATGTTAAGGGACAATTATAAAATTTAAAGTTATTGTGGATAGTTTCCCAGTCTAAATATGTTATGTGTGTCCCAAAGAAACTATTAGAAATACGCGAAAGATCACGTCATGGGGGGGTGGAAAGGCGAGCGCCCTGAAGGATGCCGAGGGTGATCGGGTCTCAGTCAGCGCCAGTCATTGACCAAGGTGGACGTCTACTACGCGTTCTGTTAAGGAAAACGACCACGTGGCCTCGTTCCTTCCCTCGCTCGTTTCATCCGTGTTGACAAGTAAGTCTTTATTCGATTTCAGACAGTGTTTAGATAGGGTGGAGAAGAATTTAACAGTAGTTAACAAAGTGCTCCTTTTGCAGGGTTATGAGAACCCACTTGGTCGGAGATCAGTTGTTAGTGGGAGTGGTGGTTCGGAAGATATAGCTGGCAACGCACTAGGAGAACAGGTGTCTCTGACGACTCACTACTGGGACCAGCAGCCGCACTTTAGTCGGTGGTCGATCTGGTTCATCAAATCTCCCTACCTTGGTTCATACAACACCACATCTCTTCAGTCAGTCAGTGGAAAATCTTACTAAAGGGAAAGTAGAACCCCTCCCTCAGCTGGGCAGGGTTCACCTGGTTGTACTCTGAGCTGGCCTACTAGGCGGGATGACGGTCGCTCTCTTCCTGTCCATGAAGTACTGGAAGTAAACTGAGTGCAGACTGAGTGAATGAAGGGTCACATGCTGGGACCGGGAGTTCTAGTAGTTACATACAGACAGTCATCTCCCCAGTATTGGGTGTATATGATTAAAATAATCAAGTCCAGGTGTGTAATCAACGTTCCTCATGGTAGATTGCACACGTGGGACGTAAGGGCTCCTCTTCAAAAATTTGTGAAAGGCTGTAGCACCTTAGAGTGTGGGTGTATTCTAAGCATATGTGTGAAGCATGTTGCGGGTGATGGTGGTGAAATGTGATTAGAATAACCAAGTCCAGGTGTGAGATCAACATTCCTCATGGTTGATTGCACACGTGGGATGTAGGAGTTCCTCTTCAAAAATTTGTGAAAGGCTGTTAGTACCTTAAAGTACGGGTGCATTCTGAACTTATGTGTGAAGCATGTTACGGGTGTTGGTGGAGAAATACACTCATGACTCATGAAACCTAGAAAGAGTAATGAAAAACAGCAGAGCACCCGCCTGCCTGACGGGTCATGAGTGATTTTCTCGGTTTCTTGTGAATGCCTGTCACTTGGCAGGTTAGTAGTTACAACCTTCGGGTTCTGTGTAGTTAGGACAGTGAGGACTATATTATATTGTGGGTCATCCCAGACAGGCTATGAGTGATCCATGTTCTTGTGTAGTATGACTAAATCGAGATTTCTATTCCTCAATAATTGCTATAATTTTGTCGGATGCACTTACGGCATTTTCATCGGTGCAAGAAATATTTTTTTAATGTTTTATGTGCCACTAAGTGATGTAGGATGTAAGAAGGAATTGTTTCAGATGAGTTCCTCCTTCTGGTGTCTCTTCTGGTGTAGTAGTACTGCTGCATTAGTAGATCTTTTCAGATGCAATTAATATCTTATAAATTTTTTTGATACCATGTATAATTTCTGTTTCCCATTGTATTGTTGTAAGCCACGCTAAGAAGTACTCTAGTGCTTGTGTACAATTATTGATTCCGTTTACAGTGTTGGAAGGAATAGAAGTGTTATCTTTTACCAGTGCGTCTCATTAACCCCAATCACAGGTACTAGCTATTCCACGGTCACGGAAAATACTTTTATTGATTGTGTTTGTGCTGGTTCGGGATTTCTCTGAGGGGCGCTTCCACTGCATTACCATCCACTATAACTAAAAAAACCCAATAACTAGTAGTGAGATTTCCGACCGGTTACATATATATATATATATATATATATATATATATATATATATATATATATATATATATATATATATATATATATATATATATATATATATATATATATATATATATATATATATGGACTAAAAATGAAATATATACTGTATATATGTGTGAGCCAGTGAGGGAAGCAACAATCAGGCGATACCCCTGTCGCTTCAACCTGCCGCTTTTCACATGGCGTGAAGGGAAATTTGGCCAATCTGTTACCGCCACAGTAAGACAAACTAGAAGAGAGAGAGAGAAAGAGAGGGATAACCACAATAAGATAAACTAGGCGAGACAGAGAGAGAGAGGGTGAGATAAGAGATATAGTGTTGACAACGAATTTGCTGACGAATCTGCTGAGGTGTTTCAATGTGAAACAGGTGGCCCTCGCCTTCGGGCTGCGATTGCCGTCGAGGGTAGTCTACCGATTTCTACAGGACAGACAACACGTTGGTTCAGACCACTAGACCCTAAAACCTGAGTGATCGTGAAGTATTAGAATCTTATAAGAAACTCTAAATAACTTTAATAAGTATATTTATGAACTGTAATTTGATCATATTATACAAATTGTCTCCTGTATCAATAGTTATAACATGTGAGTTATATTTAAGATGTTAACAGGCTATGTACTGTATGTTGATTGTATTATTCATACTATGTGTCCTGAGATAATAGCATTTGATATATGAGAATTGTTCTTTGACAGGTTTTGACCGAATTATATGGTACGAGTCAACGTTGAGGGTTTATTTCTCCAGCATCAAACCAATAACGCTCCTATGAGCATTAACACAATCTCAATTCATATTCGAAATTCACGTCCTCAACAAGCCACGCCCATACGATGTTTTATAAGCTGACGCTCAGATGAGGATCTTCAAAAAAAAAAAAAAAAGAGGTGATATAGGGGTTGGGTGTAAAGGGGACAACCCAGTACGGGTCAATAGGCCCGGCTGCAGTTTCCTCCATTCTTATATTCTTATGACTAATGAGTACAGGAGTAAATTATATAAAATCAGCTAGTGAACCGTCCCCCTGCTGTGAGTGCCTCGTCTTCGGGCACAATTCTAATCCGAATATAATTTTATGTTTTATATATGTGCATGCTAATTGGGCTTTGATGACATCACACCATGTTATTTTTTTATTATCTTGTTAGGTATCAAGCCAGATAATATTTTCGATGTTGGTTTTCTAAAGAGAGGAGAGTGGAATTTATCTCCGAGAGGCGCGGCCCCTGACCTCAACATTGCCCGGGGTGGTGAGGTCGTATCATCCATTGTGTTAGGACGCATTGTATATAATGGGACGTGCTCGGGTCTTGGATAATTAATTATTGCGTCGTGTGAGCTCACAATGGGACCAGTATAAAAATTTTCCTGTGCAGATAATGTTATTTCTAGTGATGTAAAGGTGTGTTGAGGAGTTAATACAAATGTTATACCATTTCTTCTTGAGTCTCTTTAACCCCAGTCATAGAAACACCAGTCCAGGTCACGGAAAGTATTAAGATAAATATCTGAAGTTTGTTTGTGTTGATTCGTTAACTGAAGGGCCCTTCCACTACGCTTATAATTCCATTTGTTATTGTATCAGTGTGTTATATATTTTATCATAACACAACATCCACATCTGCAGAAGTCAAATTTTCACATCCACATCCACTCACGTGAATATCAGAAATCTGACATCCGACCCATCACTACTACACATGCAGTGGTTCTAGGTATTCTTTTGTTCGTCCTATATTGCTTGACAGTCCCTCAACTCTAAGCTGGAAGAGGGAGGGATATTGTGTGTTTAGTGGTGGAGAGGAAGATGTTTATTGCGTTGAATTGGATATATCATGTGTACAGTGGTGGAGAATTAAGTGTATAATGTATAGTGATGGAGAGTTGGGTGCAGAGTGGTTGATATCTGGATGAAGAACCTGCACTGGGGTTAAGAGATTGATTGGGTAACCTTTGCGAAGCATTAGAGGCCAGTGAATTATATATCATGCAAGGTATGTAGGTTTGAGAGTGAAGTGTATACAAAATTTTATGTTACCCTGTTGAGGGGCCGGATAGACGGTGAGTGTGGGTGGGCGAGCAGCAGCAGCCATCATGAAGGGGGTGTGCAAGTCTTCATAGTGAGGGGCAGAGCGCTTCTCTAAGGTTTTGGTGGTGTTCTCCACCAGACCCAGGCGAGCCAGGGCGTCAGTCAGACGGTCCTCCAAGCGGTTAATAATGGACCGCACCGTAGCCACTTGTATCTCCACTGTCTCCTCCATCTCTACGTTGCGTTGGAGACCATCCACTTGACGCCGGAGGAATTCAACCTGTGCGAAACATGATTTAATATTAAACCGCCATCTTCAAAAGATTAAACTATCTTTTTAATAAAATTAAACAATCATACTTAAAGAAATGAACCATACTTTTCTAGCAGTTAAACCATCTTTTTAAAGAGCTATACCAGTGTCCTTAACAGGTTAAGTCATCTTTCTCAAAGTGTTAAAATATCGTCCTCAATGAGTTAAACCATTGTGTTCAAAGGGTAAAACCACCTTTCTCAGACTTAAACCATGATCCATGGCAAATTAAACCATCATCCTCAATGATTTAACCATCGTCCCCAGAGCGAAAAACCACCGGATTCACTGAGGTAAACCATCGTCATAATTGAATTATATTATCTTTCTCAAAGAGTTAAACTATCGTCCTAAACTCAAGAGATTGGTGTTATAATTCAGAGATTGATGCTATAACTCAAAACTTGATGTTATAACACAGGGTTTAGTGTTATAACACAGAGATTGATGTTATAATACAAAGGTTGATGTTATAACTCAAAGATTAATCTCATAACTCAGGGGTTGATGTTATAACACAGAGGTTGATGTTATAACTCAGAGGTTGATGCTATAACTCAAAAGTTGAGGTTAAAACTCAGAGGTTGATGTTATAACTCAAAGATTAATCTCATAACTCAGGGGTTGATGTTATAACACAAAGGTTGATGCAATAACTCAAAAGATGAGGTTAAAACTCAGAGGTTGATGTTATAACTCAGAGGTTGATGTTGTAACTCAAAAGTTGAGGTTAAAACTCAGAGGTTGATGTTATAACTCAGAGGTTGATGCTATAACTCAAAAGTTGAGGTTAAAACTCAGAGGTTGATGTTATAACTCAGAGGTTGATGTTATAACTCAGAGGTTGATGCTATAACTCAAAAGTTTAGGTTAAAACTCAGAGGTTGATGTTATAACTCAGAGGTTGATGCTATAACTCAAAAGTTGAGGTTAAAACTTAGAGGTTGATGTTATAACTCAAAAGTTAAGGTTAAAACTCAGAGGTTGATGTTATAACTCAGAGGTTGATGTTATAACTCAGAGGTTGATGCCATAACTCAAAAGTTGAGGTTAAAACAAAGAGGTTGATCTTATAACTCAGAGGTTGATGTTATAACTCAAAGATTAATCTCATAACTCAAGGGTTGATGTTATAACACAGAGGTTGATGCTATAACTCAAAAGTTGAGCTTAAAACTCAGAGGTTGATGTTATAACTCAGAGGTTGATGTTACAACTCAAATGTTGAGGTTAAAACTCAGATGTTGATGTTATAACTCAAAGATTAATCTCATAACTCAGAGATTAATGTTATAACTCAGAGGTTGATGTTATAACTCAGAGGTTGATGTTATAACTCAAAAGTTGAGGTTAAAACACAGAGGTTGATGTTAAAACTCAGAGGTTGGTGTTAAAACTCAGAGGTTGATGTTATAACTCAGAGGATGATGCTATTTACTCAAAAGTTGAGGTTAAAACTCAGAGGTTGATGTTACAACTCAGAGGTTGATGCTATAACTCAAAAGTTGAGGTAAAAACTCAGAGGTTGATGTTATAACACAGAGGTTGATGTTATAACTCAAAGATTAATCTCATAACTCAGGGGTTGATGCCATAACACAGAGGTTGATGCTATAACTCAAAAGTTGAGGTTAAAACTCAGAGGTTGATGTTATAACTCAGAGGTTGATGATATAACTCAAAGATTAATCTCATAACTCAAGGGTTGATGTTATAACACAGAGGTTGATGCTATAACTCAAAAGTTGAGCTTAAAACTCAGAGGTTGATGTTATAACTCAGAGGTTGATGTTATAACTCAAAAGTTGAGGTTAAAACACAGAGGTTGATGTTAAAACTCAGAGGTTGGTGTTAAAACTCAGAGGTTGATGTTATAACTCAGAGGATGATGCTATTTACTCAAAAGTTGAGGTTAAAACTCAGAGGTTGATGTTATAACTCAGAGGTTGATGCTATAACTCAAAAGTTGAGGTTAAAACTCAGAGGTTGATGTTATAACACAGAGGTTGATGTTATAACTCAAAGATTAATCTCATAACTCAGGGGTTGATGCCATAACACAGAGGTTGATGCTATAACTCAAAAGTTGAGGTTAAAACTCAGAGGTTGATGTTATAACTCAGAGGTTGATGATATAACTCAAAGATTAATCTCATAACTCAGAGGTTGATGTTATAACACAGAGGTTGATGTTATAACTCAAAAGTCGAGGTTAAAACTCAGAGGTTGATGTTATAACTCAAAGATTAATCTCATGTCAGAGGTTGATGTTATAACTCAGAGGTTGATGTTATAACTCAAAAGTTGAGGTTAAAACTCAGAGGTTGATGTTATAACTCAAAGATTAATATCATAACTCAGAGGTTGATGTTATAACTCAGAGGTTGATGCTATAACTCAAAAGTTGAGGTTAAAACTCAGAGGTTGATGTTATAACTCAGAGGTTGATGTTATATCTCAAAAGTTGAGGTTAAAACTCAGAGGTTGATGTTATAACTCAAAGATTAATCTCATAACTCAGAGATTGATGTTATAAGTCAGAGGTTGATATTATAACTCAGAGGTTGATGCAATAACTCAAAAGTTGAGGGTAAAACTCAGAGGTTGATGTTATAACTCAGAGGTTGATGCTATAACTCAAAAGTTGAGGTTAAAACTCAGAGGTTGATGTTATAACTCAGAGGTTGATGTTATAACACAGAGGTTGATGTTATAACTCAAAGATTAATCTCATAACTCAGGGGTTGATGTTATAACACAGAGGTTGATGCTATAACTCAAAAGTTGAGGTTAAAACTCAGAGGTTGATGTTATAACTCAGAGGATGATGTTATAACTCAAAGATTAATCTCATAACTCAGAGGTTGATGTTATAACACAGAGGTTGATGTTATAACTCAAAAGTTGAGGTTAAAACTCAGAGGTTGATGTTATAACTCAAAGATTAATCTCATAACTCAGAGGTTGATGTTATAACTCAGAGGTTGGTGTTATAACTCAAAAGTTGAGGTTAAAACTCAGAGGTTGATGTTATAACTCAAAGATTAATATCATAACTGAGAGGTTGATGTTATAACTCAGAGGTTGATGTTATAACTCAAAAGTTGAGGTTAAAACTCAGAGGTTGATGTTATAACTCAGAGGTTGATGTCTTATCTCAAAAGTTGAGGTTAAAACTCAGAGGTCGATGTTATAACTCAAAGATTAATCTCATAACTGAGGGGTTGATGTTATAACACAGAGGTTGATGCTATAACTCAAAAGTTGAGGTTAAAACTTACATGTTACTGTTATAACTCAAAGATTAATCTCATAACTCAGGGGTTGATGTTATAACGCAGAGGTTGATACTATAACTCAAAAGTTGAGGTTAAAACTCAGAGGTTGATGTTATAACTCAAAGATTAATCTCATAACTCAGAGGTTGATGTTATAACTCAGAGGTTGATGTTATAACTCAAAAGTTGAGGTTAAAACTCAGAGGTTGATGTTATAACTCAAAGATTAATATCATAACTCAGAGGTTGATATTATAACTCAGAGGTTGATGCTATAACTCCAAAGTTTAGGTTAAAACTCAGAGGTTGATGTTATAACTCAAAGATTAATCTCATAACTCAGAGATTGATGTTATAAGTCAGAGGTTGATGTTATAACTCAGAGGTTGATGCAATAACTCAAAAGTTGAGGGTAAAACTCAGAGGTTGATGTTATAACTCAGAGGTTGATGCTATAACTCAAAAGTTGAGGTTAAAACTCAGAGGTTGATGTTATAACTCAGAGGTTGATGTTATAACACAGAGGTTGATGTTATAACTCAAAGATTAATCTCATAACTCAGGGGTTGATGTTATAACACAGAGGTTGATGCTATAACTCAAAAGTTAAGGTTAAAACTCAGAGGTTGATGTTATAACTCAGAGGTTGATGTTATAACTCAAAGATTAATCTCATAACTCAGAGGTTGATGTTATAACACAGAGGTTGATGTTATAACTCAAAAGTTGAGGTTAAAACTCAGAGGTTGATGTTATAACTCAAAGATTAATCTCATAACTCAGAGGTTGATGTTATAACTCAGAGGTTGATGTTATAACTCAAAAGTTGAGGTTAAAACTCAGAGGTTGATGTTATAACTCAAAGATAAATATCATAACTGAGAGGTTGATGTTATAACTCAGAGGTTGATGTTATAACTCAAAAGTTGAGGTTAAAACTCAGAGGTTGATGTTATAACTCAGAGGTTGATGTCTTATCTCAAAAGTTGAGGTTAAAACTCAGAGGTTGATGTTATAACTCAAAGATTAATCTCATAACTGAGGGGTTGATGTTATAACACAGAGGTTGATGCTATAACTCAAAAGTTGAGGTTAAAACTTACAGGTTACTGTTATAACTCAAAGATTTATCTCATAACTCAGGGGTTGATGTTATAACACAGAGGTTGATACTATAACTCAAAAGTTGAGGTTAAAACTCAGAGGTTGATGTTATAACTCAAAGATTAATCTCATAACTCAGGGGTTGATGTTATAACTCAGAGGTTGATGCTATAACTCAAAAGTTGAGGTTAAAACTCAGAGGTTTATGTTATAACACAGAGGTAGATGCTATAACTCAAAAGTTGAGGTTAAAACTCAGAGGTTTATGTTATAACACAGAGGTTGATGTTATAACATAGAGATTTATGTTATAACTCAGAGGTTGATGTCTTATCTCAAAAGTTGAGGTTAAAACTCAGAGGTTGATGTTATAACTCAAAGATTAATCTCATAACTGAGGGGTTGATGTTATAACACAGAGGTTGATGCTATAACTCAAAAGTTGAGGTTAAAACTTACATGTTACTGTTATAACTCAAAGATTAATCTCATAACTCAGGGGTTGATGTTATAACTCAGAGGTTGATGCTATAACTCAAAAGTTGAGGTTAAAACTCAGAGGTTTATGTTATAACACAGAGGTAG